AGGGGAAAAAAAAAATCAAGTGACAGTAAAAAAAAAAAAAAAAACGGTTGGAAGATGGGAAAAGAAAATGGCATAAAACAGGTTAGCATAATCTGGGGGTGGCGGTGAGGTCTTGGAGTGCCCAGGCCTTCACTTACGCGGTCAGGTTCCCCTCTTGAGTTGGAGCAGACAGCTGAGTTCTGACCCTGGCTCTGCCACCAATAATTACAGGACCCTGGACAAGCCACCCTGCTTCCCAGGGTCAAGCCTTTGTGGGAGGTGCGGGTACCAAAACGCAGCCACTTACACGTCATCCCCTGCTGAAATGAGTGGAGAGATCCTGCAGGAGGGACAGTCTCATATGTGCCTGTGACAAGGGCTGTGACAAGGGCTCTCTACGAGCCATGAATTTGGACAAAGGCCACTGCAACCTTCCACAGAGGACATTTCTGTGAGCTGGCCGCCCAGCCACTGCCCAGACTGGGACTGATGGTTGGTGCTTGGAGCCAAGGATAGTTGTCTCAAAACAATTCCCATTTCTCATTGTACCTTCACAAACCCTTGGTTTCCTTTGCTGTCCACTTAAGCCCACCCAGGTTACAGCACACACATTCCAGGTTACAACCTTATGTTCGTTTCCAAGGGAAATAGTGTCAAATCTTCGAGGCCCCCTCTCCCTGTGGTTGTTTAAGTTGACAGGTGCCTCTTCTGTGACACCTCTTCCAGCAACACATGAATCTATCGCAGTTGATTCTGGGAAATTGTAATCTTTTGTCCCTTCTCTTATGAAATCAAACTAAACACAGTGTTTAAGAGTGAGACAAAATTACAGCCTATGGCATTTAACTGCGCCTTGCCAGGATTTTCACAGAATCACAAAAACAGAACCAAACTTCTGAAGGGCATTCAGTTTGGATAAATGCTCGATGCTTAAGGACTTTTAAGAACTTTCAGTAAGCAATCTGGGTGAAGCTAGCAAGTCTCATGTTCTTGGGACACTGGCTTGGCCTTCTGTGCCATATGACCATGCGCTGACTATTGGTCGGGGCAGGTGACTCCTGAGCATAGCGATCCAAAAGGTACCGCGGTTTCTGCCCTGGAGGGAGGATGATTTTTATTGTCTTCATTTTATTATTTAAAATTTTTCTTATTTGAAAGACAAAAAAAAAAAAAATTCAGGCCGGTGCCACGGCTCACTAGGCTAATCCTCCACCTTGCGGCGCTGGCACACTGGGTTCTAGTCCCGGTTGGGGCGCCGGATTCTGTCCCGGTTGCCCCTCTTCCAGGCCAACTCTCTGCTGTGGCCAGGGAGTGCAGTGGAGGATGGCCCAGGTGCTTGGGCCCTGCACCCCATGGGAGACCAGGAGAAGCACCTGGCTCCTGGCTTCAGATCAGCACGGTGCGCCAGCAGCAGTGTGCCAGCCGTGGCGGCCATTGGAGGGTGAACCAATGGCAAAGGAAGACCTTTCTCTCTGTCCCTCTCTCTCACTGTCCACTCTGCCTGTAAAAAAAATAAAAATAAAAAAGAAAGAAAGAAAGACAAAGAGAGTGAGCTGCCATCTGCTGTTTACTCTCCAGATGCCTGCCACAGTTGTCCTTGGCTGGGGCCAAAGCTGCAGGCTGGAGAACTCCACAGTGGTCTTCCACTTGGGTGGCAACGACCCAACCACTTGAGCCATCACCTGCTGCCTCTTGGGATGTGCATAAGCAGGAAACTGGGATGGGCAGCAGAGCCAGGCCTTGAACCAGGCACTCCAAGACTGCTATACCCAATGCCTTCCTTGTGTCTTTGGTATAGCAATCTCCTCATTATGTACTGAGGTTAAATATGTCATTTCAGAAGAGGGCGGGGGGGGGGTGGGCATTGCGCAGAAGCTGTTAAAGCTATCATTTGGGATATCTACATCCCATATTGGAGCACTGGTTTGAGGTTTGGCTCCTCTACTTTTTTTAAGATTTATTTTATTTATTTGAAAGACAGAGTTACGAAGAGAAGTAGAGACACAGAGAGAGGTCTTCCATCCACTGGTTCACTCCCCAGATGGCCACAACGGCCGGAGCTGTGCTGATCCTAAGCCAGGAGCTGGGAGCTTCTTCCGGATCTCCCTCATGGGTGCAGGGGCCCAAGGAGTTGGGCCATCTTCTACTGCTATCCCAGACAACAGCAGAGAGCTGGATCGGAAATGGAGCAGCCAGGACTAGAACTGGCACCCATATGGGATGCTGGCACTCCAGGCCAGGGCTTTAATCCGCTGTGCCACAGTGCCGGCCCCTCCTCTACTTTTTTTTAATAAATATTTATTTATTTATTTGAAAGTCAGTGTTACACAAAAAGGAGAGGCAGAGAGAGAGGTCTTCCATCTGCTGGTTCACTCCCCAATTGGCCTCAATGGCCGGAGCTACATCGATCCGAAGCCAGGAGCTAGGAGCTTCTTCCGGGCCTCCTACATGAGCGTAGGGGCCCAAGGACTTGGGCCATCTTCTACTGCTTTCCCAGGCCATAGCAGAGAGCTGGATGGAAAGTGGAGCAGCCGGGACTCGAACTGTTGTCCATACGGGATGCCGGAACTGCAGGAGGTGGCTTTACACACTATGCCACAGTGCCAGCCCCTACTCTGCTTCTGATCTGACTTCCTGCTGGGCAGCAGATGGTGGGCTCAAGTTCTTGGGTTCCTCATGTGGGTTTCACTCATGTTGGTTTCACTCATGTGGGACACCTGGATAGAATTCTGTTTTGCCCTGGCCCAGTCCCTACCTGTTGCAGGCAATTAAGGAGTGAAATGGTAAATCTTTTCTCTATTCTGACCTCTCTGTAACTCTGCCTTTCAAATAATTAAAAAAAAAAATAGCAGATGGGGATAGAGAAAGACATGGGGGCCAGTTATTTTGAGATCTGGAAGGAGGCATATGCAAGATTGTTACTATGATCACTAACCTTGTACTAGAAATTCCTAGGAAGGTTGTGTGCAGGGGTGCTGGAGCTGTCAGCTGGCACAGACGGCACAGACGTCCAGACTTCCCAAGAGCTGACCCCATGTTTGATCCGTGAACCTCGCTGCATGCGTGCACACACACCCTGTACCTCACCCCTTACCCAGCCTCTCATCTCTCCCACTTCACTCCTAACCTTCCCTTGTCAAGAGTGTTCCTAGGCCGGTGCTGCGGCTCACTTGGCTAATCCTCTGCCTGCGGCGCCGGCACACTGGGTTCTGTCCCGGTTGCTCCTCTTCCAGTCCAGCTCTCTGCTGTGGCCCGGGAAGGCAGTGGAGGATGGTGCAAGCACTGGGGCCCTGCACCCGCATGGGAGACCAGGAGAAGCACCTGGCTCCTGATCAGTGTGGTGCGCTGGCCGCAGTGGCCATTGGTGGGTGAACCAATGGAAAAAGGAGGACCTTTCTCTGTTTCTCTCTCTCTCACTGTCTAACTCTGCCTGTCAGGGAAAAAAAAAAAAAAAAAAGAGTGTTCCTGGGGCTGGTGCTGTGGCATAGCGGGTAGAGCTGCCGCCTGCAGTGCCGGCATCCCATATGGGTGCCCGTTTGAGACCCAATTGCTCCACTTTCCATCTAGCTCTCTGCTATGGCCTGGGAAAGCAGTAGAGGAGGGCCCAAATCCTGGGGCCCCTGCACCCGCATGGTAGACCCAGAAGAAGCTCCTGGTTCCTGGCTTTGGATCGGCTCAGCTCCCGCCATTGCAGCCATTTGAGGAGTGAATCAGCGGATGGAAGACCTCTCTTTCTCTCTGCCTCTCTGTAACTCTGCCTTTCAAATATAAATAAATCTTTAAAAAAAAAAAAAGTGTTCCATTAAGGAATAATGCTTCATGCTAACTTTTCTCCTTTGCTGAATTAGAAATAATTTCCTGGGACTAGAAAAATTTTCAATCCATGAACTTACAAAACTAAATTAAAGTGAGTATGAGAGGCCTGCGCTGTGGCGAAGCGGGTAAAGCCGCTGCCTGCAGTGCTGGCATCTCATATGGGCGCCGGTTCGAGTCCTGGCTGTTCTGCTTCCGATCCAGCTCTCTGCTATGGCCTGGGAAAGCAGTAGAAGATGGCCCAAGTCTTTGGGCCCCTGCCCTTGCATGGAAAACCCGGAGGAAGCTCCTGGCTTCGGATCAGCGCAGTTCTGGGCATTGCAGTCAACTGGGGAGTAAACCAGCAGATAGAAGCCCTCTCTCTCCCTCTCTCCCTCTGCTTCTTTCTGTGTAACCCTTTCAAGTAAATAAATAAATCTTTCAAAAAATAAAAAAAGTGAATATGAGTGTTCACATTCAAACCAGCCACAAAGAAAATGGAATGAAAGCTCCCTGCTGGCCACGGTCAGCACGCAATGACGCCACATACAGGAGGGCCGTTCAGAAGGCTTCCTGCCCATGGCAGTGGGTGTCAGGAGGGCTGCAGCTCTTGGCTTACTGTCAAGTGGAGGAAATATGGTAACCTGATGTCGGGCAAAGGCGAAATTGCAGATATGGGCCCCTGTGCAGCACCACACAGTGAACTGGCGTGCTGGCAGCCGTCCCAGGTGTGTGTGCCTCATGTATTCCTACGGAGCTGGGTCACCTGGCCACAGTTTTCTGTACCTAAAGCTGCTTGTGGACCCAACTGCATAGCAGCAACAAGAAGCACGCCTTTCGCCCCAGTCCCTCCCAAACCTATCAATCACATTAGAACAACCAGGCCTCTTTCTAACCTGGTGCCAATCAAAGTGCAATGTCCCATCCATCCATGTTACCCAAGTGAGGTTTTCAAAAAAAATGCTGACAAACAGGACTCAGGCTGATTAACACTAAAAATGAAACTCTATGATTTTACAGAGAACTCATTGACATCTTCTCCTGCCTGTTCATCTTGCAGTAAGTCAATTTTGTTGAGGAAGTTACCAATATTTACTGAAAAAACAGTGCAGACTATGGGCAAGGCTCTGGCAACTGAAAACATTCAATTCCACTCGTACTTCCTCGGGGATTTAGAATGTGTCTGCAGCCGAGAGAAACACAACTGAGACAGGAATAAAGGATGCACCTTGTGAGTCTTCAAAGTGCTTTATTCCGTGAAGCCCGGCTCATGACGGGAGTGTACTGTTAGCACTAGGAAATACAAGGCAAACTTCCTCACTCTGTCCAATAGTTTATCAACAGAAATGAATGACAAAGACCATTACAGAGGAAAAGAAAGCATTTTGTAAACTTCTAAAGGCATACACAGATTGGCCACCAAACGAAATGGTTACTCAAATAATGCAGATGGTACCTTATCTTTACTTCAGGGTCAAAGGAACCACAGAACTTCGATGCCAGAATTAATGGCATGTGTATGAGGGGCTCAAGTCACAGAATCAATTAAATACATAAAACGCAGACTTGTACAGCTGGGTTCAGTGGTGTTAACATCATCTGTAGGAGCTAACAGATCTACATACAGTCAGTGGATGGTAGGGCAGGGCTCCGGGGGTGTTGGGGGGAAGGGGTGGCGTTGCTGCTGGCTTCCAAAGATAATGTGACATCAACCCACATACACCGGGGACAGCTGCAACCTGGACAGCCCTGAAGTCAAGTTACGGGAGAAGGCAGCACGGGACCTGGATGAGCTGTTCAGCAATCACTGAAGGGTGGATTTCCCCCCCTTTCCTGAAACTGCCTACCCAAACCATCTCATGTTTTAAACAAGAATATCAAAGGCACAGCGTTAGCACAGCGTATAAATTGATAAGCTACTCTAAGCAAGTCTAATATTTTAGCTTGATGCCTTCCAGAAAATGCAGGAAAGTTGGTAGATACGCGATCAATGTTGGAAATTTACAACCTGATTAAACACAGTCAGCACAGTTTAGGGCAATGAAGTTATTTAACCAGATTTGGGTTAAATTTTTTTTTTTTAAATCATTAAGTTGATACATTTACATCTGGAGGAAACAAAACAATCCTTTTCCTTTTATTGTCAAAGACCGACTACTGTGTACTTTGAATACAACATTCACCTAAACACGTGACTGCAGGACACATCTCAATAGGACAAACATGATTTCACCTACACTGCAAAACGACTTTACATGTAAACTTCAACAACCACATGCTGTACATTAAATTTTTAGATTCAAATATATCCCTGTTTTCCTAATAATGTAAACAGTACAACTGAGGGTCTCAGTTAAAGGGACAATTCATAATAACAAAACACCCGCTGTTTAAACAAAGGCCAAACATAAACGTCTTATAAATCAGATTTGCTTTTGGTAACAGAATTGAGAGTTTTAGTGCTTTGCTTATCTTCCCACGGTGGGAGATGCAGCTACCATTGCCCCAAACTATGCACTTTTCAGGTCAGCTCTGTTTGCATGTCATAGCATTAATTCCTACACTGCAACATAAGGGTGTAAAGAGAAGTAAGCTGTTTTCCTGGGCGCGTTTCTGGAGGTGTCGGCGTCCAGAGTCATTGCGGCATCAGCTTCTCGGCGCACGAGGGACAGTTGCTCTGGGACACCAGGAGTCCCGACACTGTGTGGGGACAGACCCTGAACCAGAACACACGGGGATGCTGGCACTCTTCTGTCCAGGGCCGGGGGCGCAGGTGACAACGATGAAGAGGAGTGTCTACGTGCGGGGTGGAAGTGTAACATTTGCAGTAAGTTTTTTTTTTCTTTTTAATCATCATCATCATTATTATTATCTTCATTATTATTATGAACACTCTCACATCTTTCAACTCAAAAAAAAAAAAAACTGGTCCACAGTTTGTCGTGCGATGCCCACACGGTTCCTCCGCATGCATTTTCTGCTCCCCTCCCCCCAAACAGCTGCTAGCTCATTTGCTTGTGCATTCCTTCGGCTGCAGCTGGAACCAGAGGGTTTCTGTTGTAACAGGTTCTGACTCCAGCTGATGGGTTTTATTTAATTAATTATTGTAAAATGTGCACACACACACACACACCCCCACGCAAAGCGCACGCACTCACACATGCGCACAGTCAGGAATAGCTAGCACGACGCTGGGACATGTCAGGTGGCTGTGAAAGCGGGTCGTCCCCAAAGCAGTCAACTCGGCCTGAAGATGTAAACAAGGAGGTTTGCTTCCTGCAAGATGAGCACTGCACCGAGCTGGGTTTCCTCTCTCCTGCGCTGAAGCCGCCTCTGCCCTTGCCACGCTCAGGTCTGTCCGAGGCCGCGCGGGAGGTTACGTCAAGATGTGGCCGATAAAGTCCAAAAAGCGCTTTGAATACTGCTCTGGGTTCACGGTCGAGATCTCCGCGCCAGCCTGTGCAGTGTTAGAGAGGAGTATTGACACGACGTTTATGACTCCCCAGAATCACTACTCCATGTCCAACCGTGGCTGAATATAATGCTAATAATTTTCAGGTCTCTACAGCCTCGGCTCTAACCCAGCTCCTGACATCTTGGCTATTTTGGCTGAAAGGACTTATGAGTCTGAAAATGAGGCCAAGGGTGGCAGGAGCGCCATGACAGCTGTGACTTAAAATCCCATCAGCTTGGGGCTGGCGCTGTGGCACAGAAGGGTAAGCTTCTGCCTGCAGCGCCGGCATCCCATATGGGTGCGGGTTCAAGTCCCGGCTGCTTCACTTCTGGTCCACTTCCCTACTAATGTGCCTGGGAAAGCAGAAGATGGCCCAAGTCCTTGGGCCCCTGCACCCATGTGGGAGACCCAGAAGAAGCTCCTGGCTTCAGACTCGCCCAGCCCCAGCCATTGCAGTCATTTGGGGAGTGAACCAGCGGATGAAGATGGATTCTCTCTCTCTCTCTCTGTACCTCTGCTTTTCAAATACATAAATCTTTAAAAAAATCCCATCATCCCTGTTTGGGACATTCCTACCAACCAGGAGGATCTGTGGGGTTTACATTCTAAAGCCATGGGACAACAGCTTTGCATTTCAAGGCAGCAGACCGTGGACACTTGAGGGTGACACACACGTAAGTTCTGGTGAAAGCAAGACCTTCCATGATGTGACTTCAGGACTTAAGATGCTGCTGCACCTCCCGAGAGCTGAGGGCCCTTGGTGCCACCGCTCCTCCGCAGAGACCTGCACGGAGCACGGACGGGGCTCTGCAGAGGCCCAGTGGGGGGTGCTGTTATTACCTGCACAGTGCTGGCCGGTGCTCTGCAGTTTCTGCAGTGTCCTAAGCTGCAAGGGGCAAAGACTAGATTTTTACTAAGTCGCCAGGGGCTATTTTTGGATGCCCACATTCATGGGGGCTCTCGTTATTTCCAGGCCTGGGCTGTTAGAGCAACCTCAAAAAGTATTTCCTTTAGTTCACACAAGCAGGAAGGAGGCGGAGACTCCGCCCCAGGTCTGTGTGTGCAGTCTCCCCCATGGCTTTCAACCCATGGGGCCTCTGGAGTCCCCTGCCTCACTCCCCTGAGCGGGACTCTAAGCAGGGAGAGTGGCTGTGCCTGTGGCGCAGGTGCACTTAGGAATGGCGCTAGGACGCTGCCCCTGTGACCTTGTCTTGCTGAGGCGCTCTCTGGGCCAGGCAGGGTCTGCGGCTGTGCTCTGCGCACAGCAGGAGCCTGTGGCTGAGCTGTTTCTTTGGCAAACAGAATATGGTTTCAGGCTGAATCCACTTCCGGGATGGCAGCCCGTTTGAGTTTCAAATAGAGAAAAAGAGCCTTTAGCTGAGTTGGTTAGCTCTGGCCAGCGCTCTGTGGGAGGCACCTGCCAGCGGGCACAGGCAGCACAAGTCCGACTGCGAGGGATGGGGCTCTGTGGCTTTTCAGTCCACTTGGAGAGCCACAAGTGGAGCCCCACGCTACAAGCCAGAATGGCGTGTAGCCAGGCAGTGGGGCTGCATGGGCAGGGCAGGGCAGGGCAGGAACACAGGGCGGGTGACCCTGCTAGACTCTGCAGAGGAAGCCCTGCTGTGCCCCTGCCTAGCGAGGGGCTCTTGTTGTCACCCCTGAAGCTGTCTGCTTCCGTTCCTTCAGCTGACAGAGGGGACCCACTAGCATCCCCTCGCAAGGGGTCAGCAGGGTACCTGCTGCCCAGCACCGTGCCAATTCTGAGCAGGCACAATAAAGGCCAAGAATGACCATGGGGAAACTTGGACCCTGCACTCACATGGCTGCTGTGACAGAAAAAATACAGCCCACCACGAGAGAAGAAATCTAATCTTGCATACTTTGGAAGCGCCTTAAGCAGAGAACTGTGCTTCAATTCGGAGCACTCTGCATTAAAACCACCAACTTCAGCACTTTAATCTTCAGAACACTTTCCAAACACAAAAGAATTTGTCAGTTCCTAGGGAGGCCTGTGGCTGTACACGTCCTCTGTGTGTCAGAAGAGGCGCGGACTTGCCAGGAGCCCTACCAAGTCCCTGGGAGGGCCGGGCTTTAGCCGCTGGCATTTGCATGAGAACACGGCCCCCCACAGGCAGCGCGCTCCACTAAAGGGCTCTGAACAGCGCCCGCAGAGAGGAGTAGCCCGCAGGAGAAAGGAGTGGTCTCGGCTCCCCGGCCACGCCGAGGACCCCGAGGGAGAATTGTGGAGTGCGTACTTACGCCATGCTTCACAGTTTTTGCAGCGTGGGCAGCTTTCTTTTTTGCATCATAATGAGTGAGAATGTCAATAATTGCCATGAAGTACACCTCCTTCCTAGGCGAGTCTGCAAAGGGATGAGAGCAAGTGAATGACGTCACCGGGAGGGAGACACAAGCACTGTGCAGGGAAGGAGAGGAGCCTGGGGCTGAAGCAGCCTGGGGACAAACTCCAAGGGACTCCTGCGTGCTCCTCCCAGCCCTGGGGACTCTACCCAATGTGCTTTCAAAATAACAAGTGAAAAAACCTACCATAACCCCAGGATATGAACACTGGAGCTCCAAGGGTGCAACTGAATGCTTTTATTTTTACTTTTTGATAATCTGCATTTTCTTGAATGACTGTGTAAAGAGGAATGCTATCTTAAAAATACTTAGGAAACAAGTGTAACTAACTGTGTTCATTAATCCTTTCTTTACCATAAGCTGCAGTGTTGGTAAGCAGTTCTCACTGGATGCAGTATCAGAACTGGATAAAGGCACAGAGCACCCCAATATCTACTTAGTCCCAAAAATATGATGTTGCTTCAATTCTGAATAGAAAGGACAGCACATTTGACTACATCTAGTTTTCTGTGTTAAAGAAACAATTTTGGTGAGCAAAATAAGAATAGAACAAAACATAACTCAAACCCATTTGGGTGAGATGCCATCTGTGTTTTTTTTTTTTTAAGAAAAAAAAAATCAATGAACCACACTATTATTCAGAAAATGAGAGGCTGCATTTATCAAATCACTAAAATATTTTTTTATGGGTAAGTAGCTAAGGTAGAATGGGATATTCCTTCAAATGCCCGGTCATTTTTACATTGTGTTGAGGACTAAGAACAATGGTTCTGACCCTAGAGAAGCTCAGAGCCCCCTTTAGGGCTCTCGCCCCGTCCACAGGCTGGCCTTGGCACAGAGAAGGAGGGGTGTTTGGTGATGATATGCCTCCCTGAGGGTCACAGTAGACCACACACCCGTGCCTACCTCAGGACAGATGTGTGGTGCTTTAGCCTTAGATAAGAAAGAAGACAGCTAAGGAAAAAATACTTAAACCAGTTCTTATATATGTTCTCTATAGAGGTGCATCTATAGGTATATGTGGGATACACAAGATGACTCGTGGTTTTGCTCCAGTCCCTCAACAGCCCCCTACCCAAGGACCTGCTCCCATTACATTTAAAACCCGAGCTTATAGTTACCTTGAACCCGCTCTGACCCTGTGCGTTTACCTGGACTCCGGAGAATGAGTCTTGCAGGACAACACACCTGTACTAGGGTTCATTACTGGTAGACGACAATGCAAAAACCAAACTGCTTCAGATGTAAACAAGAGGCAATGGTAACTAAGCTTACTTTCATGGCATTTAATTCCATAAACATCAATGTTCGGATCAAACTCCCCCGGAGCCAAGGGCGGTGAGCTGTTCAACGTGTTTCCGGGGCTATCCGGAGGGGTCCCGACTGGGTGGGTGCCGTCGCTCTCCCCCTCCTCCTCCCCGTCATTCTCCTCACACTCCACCTCTTCTTGCTCGGCTCTCTCCACATCGTGAATTCCCACCAGTAAGCTGTAGTCCATGAGCTTCAACTGGGCAAGAAACTGGAGGGGGAGGCGACATGATCAGTTACACCTTACACAAAAAAGGAGATTTGCAAGCTCAGGCGGACACACAGGGGAAGGATGTGTGGGAGCTGGCTGCAGAGGCACACAGAGGGCCCCTCTGAGAGGCGGCCAGGAGCCTTGGTGATGGGCAGTGTTTCTGGCTACACACACAGTCTCACACTTCGGGTCGGTCCGCGGCTGGCGTAGTCATCCCTGGAATGCAAAACTGGGTGCTGAGGCCCAGGCTGGATTATACCAAAGAGTGGAGAGCGTGACTGGCAACACAGAGCCATGGAGAGCAGTGGTGGTAGGGCGGGGGTGGGAGGGGGGAGTTTCCCCCAACAATTAAGACTTGGCTAATGGGAAAAACCAGGGACCTCCCAAGAAGCTTGCAGCAGGCTCAAGAGGGATTGGGAGTACTTTGAAATTCTGCGCACTCCGTGGAGGAGACTATTATGCTGTCCATCACAAATACATAAACGCCCGAATATCCCAATCAACCAGCAAACGCATCGTGCCAAGGCTCTGGCGAGTAATGCGGTCCTTCTGTCTCCGTTCAGCTTTCTTCGGACCTAAGCAGAAGCAAGTTAGCCCTTCCTCTCCTGGGCAGGCCATGATTACACTCGACGGTGGGGCAAGAGCTAGCTAGCTCTGTGGGTTTGCCTACTCCTGTCTGCCAAGTTCTTTTCTGGCTCTTCAGGGCAAGATTTTTTTTTTTTCCTTTTTTGTTTAAGCGGATGCACCCAGATACCTGACCTTAAATGCAGTGTTCTAACCGACCCATTAACGTGGGGGCGGTGTTACTGCGTGCACAATGCGGAGGCCAAAGACAGGCTGGAACTAATCAGCTTCCTGACCCCAGCCGGGGCTGGCTGGCTCTGCACAGGGTGCGTGGTCCCCACCCTCGCTCGCCGATGCAGAGCAGTTGACTGGCCCCTGGGCCCCTCGGGTAGAATTTAGGAAACAAACTTCCTTACACGAAGGGCAGGCATGTGAAATTATAGGTCTTAGAAGTTCTGGCTGAAAATGAAATGAAATCCATTTGCCAAGACCTGCAGAGCCCTTTCTTTTTGGCTGAGCCTGCCGGAGGGCAGCTTGCTCTCGGAGCCGGGGAGAAGCAGGTTCTTGACAGACAAGGCCGGGCACCCCGGGGCACAGGTGTGCCGAGCCACTTCTGCCCTGGCCGGCGCGTGCCGCTCTGTCCGCTACCCCTTCTCAGACTTCCACTCACTGGCCCACCACCACGAGTCTGCTGGGGACACCTGAATCCTCCCTGTTATGAACTCAGCAAAAATGCACAAATCTTCCGCTCAGACCAGCAAGCAAGGCAGGGGAATCCCGTTTCCTGAGAAATAGACGCAAATTTCCAGTTACATCTGAGCGCTGAGCTCGCGCTCACCCCCATGCTTCCAGTTTTCTGGCCCCCCTCGGGGGGCAGAAGTGGCTGCCCCGTGGCATTCGGGCAACTCTGCCTCCACAGGGAGCGCAGACACCAACTCCCTGCGGCCACCTCTCTAGCCAGCCTTCCTTCCGGTGGTCGGGGCTCACCGTCAGCCAGCTAGGCGTGCTTGTGTGCGTCCTTGGGCTCGCGCGTACGTACGTACGTACGTACGTGCGTGCGTGGCTTATGGTGGGAGGCTGCTTGTCCCAGCCCTTGACCAATGCAGGCCCTGTCGCTGGGCCAGGGAGCGGAGAGCCCCCAGCTGTGCTGCACACCGGCACAGAAGAGAACTCAGTGTGCAGGTGCAGTGGCAGTGACTGGGCCCGGGCAAGGCCCTCACGTCCTTGTGTGGAAGACGGACGAGTTCTCAATGATTCAAAGCCGAGAGCGAGTGAATGCCGGAGCCTGTGTTCCTTGTACCCAGTCACGTGACTGGACTCCGTTAAAACGGCCTTTTTTTTTTTTTTTTTCTGGTTCTTGTTCTTTGCAACCTTAGTAGGAAGATGATGGGTTAAACAACTGGTTTCTGAGGAGGACCTGAACAAAAGGCCTTGCCCGCCTGGACAGGCTCGGCTGGCCTCCAGCTCCAGGGGCACGGACACTGATGTAGTCGGGAAGCCGGTTTTCCCTCCAGGATAGCCCGTGGGCCTCCTGTTTGGGGAGCGCACAAGTGTCCAGTCACAGCCTCTGACCCTCGGCCAATACAGCTGGCAGAGCGCCCCACTACTGCCCCAGCTGCGGTTCCAAGGCCTCCAGGAGTCTGCGCTCAGACCCTGGGTTCCTGGGGAACCATGTCCGTGTGGGTTTCTTTCCATCTCCTCCACTACCCCCCACCCTCGTCTAGGATGAGGCTGGGTCCCGTTATCTATGCTCCCCCTCTCCCAGCTCCTCCTCACTCATCCTGGGAGCCACTCCAGGAGTCAGCTGAGGGGACCCCCGGTGTGCCTCCAGGCTGTCGTCCCTCCCACCCACGCTACTGTACATGCTGGGCAGCTTGGATCAGCCTTCCTGACCTCACGCCACAGGGTCAGAAGTCCTGTTCCAGTAAGGAAATGATAGAGCTACAGGTAGCTGCTGGGGTGTTCCACCGCCAGTGAAACGAACAATTCATTGCGAGTGGAAGCTGCTCTGATGTGCCCGAGAAAAGTGAGAACGATTGTGGTCCCAACGGGTGGGTAGACAGACAGTCCCCAATTTACAATGGCTGGACTTCAAAGATTTATTCAACTTCCTGATGGTGGGCTAAAGCAACACAAATGCAGTAGAAACTGTACTTTGAATTTTGATCTTTTCTTGGGGTACCGATATCTGGCTCAGTACTCTCGGGTTGCAGGACTGCAGGCTAATTTAAGTGTTCTGAGCATGTCTGAGATGGGCTAGCCTAAGACTTGATGCTGGATAGGCTAGGCATATTAAATGCAGTTTTGACTTAATGCTATTTTTTTTAAAAAGATTTATTGAAAGAGTTATACAGAGAAGAAGATGCAGAGAGAGAGAGAGAGAGAGAGAGAGAGAGAGAGAGAGGTTTTCCATCCGCTGGCTGGATGTGCCAATCCGAAGCCAGGAGCCAGGAGCTTCTTCCAGTCTCTCATGTGGGTGCAGGGGTCCAACGACTTGGGCCATCTTCCACCGTTTTCTCAGCCCATAGCAGAGAGCTAGATCAGAAGTGGAGCAGCTGGGACTCGAACTAGCGTCTACATGGGATGCTGGCACTAAAGGCGGCAGCCCTGACTTAATGCTATTTTTAACTTATGATGGGTTTTCCCACATATAACACCATCCTAAGTTGAGGAGAATCTGCATCCAGGGAGAAACGGAAAAAGACAAGGTCTGCACTGTGACTGAGTATAGGTTTTACTGACAAGAGTAAGTTAAGTAAGAGTGGTTAAGAGTATAGGTGTGGGGCTGGTTTTGTGGCGTAGCAAGTAAAGCCATCACCTGCAGTGCCAGCATCCCATATGGGCACTGGTTTGAGTCCTGGCTGCTCCACTTCTGATCCAGCTCCCTGCTATGGCCTGGGAAAGCAGTGGAAGGTGGCCCAAGTGCTTGGACCCCTGCACCCACCTGTGAGACCTGGAAGCAGCTCCAGGCTCCTGCTTTGGATCGGCACAGCTCTGGCCATTGTAGTCATTTGGGGAGCGAATCAGCAAATGAAAAATCTTTCTCTCTCCTCCTCTCTGCCTCTGCCTCTCTGTAACTCTGCCTTTCAAGTAAATAAATAAATCTTTTTTTTTTTTTTAAAGTGTAGGTGTTATTAAAGCATCAGATAAAGTGGCTAGGTTTTGAAGTCAGATGTGAAAATTGTCTTATTTGTTTTACTCACTAGCTTTATATGTGGATTACTTTACCTCTCTGACTTATAAAATGGGACAACACCACTCACCTCAGAGGGGTGTGGAAAGGATGAAAGGAGAAAAGGCAGCTAAGGGGAAAAACATGGTGCCTTGCACGAACAGTGGAAGCCGTAGCATGATTGCCAATGTTGTTTTCATTATGGCAGAAGGCCTTTTCCCCCCATCAATTTGTAAAATGGGGAGACAAGTTCAAGTTGATGAGCCATGAGGAGAATGGTGGGGAAACGCCTGTGGCTTCATGAGCTCTTATTTCATATACTTTATTTTATTTTATTTATTTATTTTTGACAGGCAGAGTGGACAGTGAGAGAGAGACAGAGAGAAAGGTCTTCCTTTTTGCCGTTGGTTCACCCTCAATGGCCGCCGTGGTCGGCGCACTGCACTGATCCGATGGCAGGAGCCAGGTACTTCTCCTGGTCTCCCATGGGGTGCAGGGCCCAAGCACTTGGGCCATCCTCCACTGCACTCCCTGGCCACAGCAGAGAGCTGGCCTGGAAGAGGGGCAACCGGGACAGAATCTGGCGCCCCGACCGGGACTAGAACCCGGTGTGCCGGTGCCGCAAGGCGGAGGATTAGCCTAGTGAGCCGCGGCGCCGGCCTACCCTCAAGAATTTTAAGAAGGAAAACAGACAATTATACAGGAAGGGCTTAAGCTGCATGTGCTATAAATGCTGGAGGCCCCCCGCATCGGTCCCTGCTCCCCACCTGGTCCCCTCCTACTTATTTCCATGCTAAGGGAAAGCTGAGAAGCCCTGCGATGAGAGCGCTCACAGGAAAGGCACAGTTTTGCATCACGTGACACGTGGATCTCAACGACAGGGGAGGTCAGGTGACTACCCGGGGTCACGATCGGAGCCGACAGCAAGCACAGCAGCAGGCCAAGGCGCTCCGACTCGCCACGGAGCACCTTCTTTTGGTATATATATTTTTAAGCAGGAAAGAGCTCCTGTGTGTTGGGTTATGTGCGAAGCTGTGTAGACTGAAGTACTCAGTGTGGCATGTGACTAGGACAGGATTTCAACTGTAGAAAAGCAGCAGCTAGGTTCTCAAATGACAATTCTGTTCTCTAAAAAGGAAAAAAAATACATCATTTATTGAGCTGTAATAAACGCATTCTACTTTAATCATTAAGGAGACAAAAAAAAAAAAAAAGGAAAAAAAAACTGTATTCAAACTTTAGCAGTTAGGCCAGGGAGCCAAATTAGAAGGCATGGAGCTGATGAAAAAAGAAAACTAGATTAAATTCTAGTCTCATTATCAAGATCAGATGTCAAGCTCCTTCACCATAATTACCCGCTTAAAAATTTAATGATGCTTCTGCATGAATTTCAAAACTAAAGACACTGTTATCAGCTATTGAGAAAATTTTTTAATGAAAGAACACTTTATGCCCTGCCTCTGTTTCAACAAAACAGCTAAGTGCGAGAGCCATGTATGGGATTAAACTATCCAATCCTTTAATCAACGACATTATTAGAGACAACAAAAGGGCTAAGAGGATCCTCATGTAATTCAACTGTAAATTTGAGCTGCTTGAGTTAAATTATTTCTGGAGTCTAAATGTCATAGTGACATACAGCCAACAGAGAGGAAAAAAAGCACATTTTTTTGGCACATCATACATAACCCTGAGGGCTATTTATCATAATTGCTAAAACAATATTATTGTCAGGATCAAAAATTCGCTGATTAATATCAATATAGATCCAAAAGAGAGTATGTTTACCTGTGGTACTGAACCCAGTCATCAGTTAGATCAAGTTGACCTCAAAGTAAAGAGGAAATGCCTGATATGCATTTCAGTAAGAACCACTGACAACTGAGGAAAAATAAATGTTCATTAATAAAAAGCTGGTGAGAAAAATGCTACATGATAAAAGCAACAACTGGTACCTACATTTTAAACGTAGACATTTATATACTTTGCAAATAACCAATGTTTATGCTTAATCCAAGCATGGATACTATGGAGGTGAAAATAATATAAAACATTTTTATTAAAATAATTTATGATCTAAAAATAACTAGGAACTAACTTGGTTGGTGTGTCTTGCAATGAAAAGAACTGTTGGGAGGTTAAAAAGATTAAAGATTAAAATCCTGCTTCCACTTCTGCCTTTGTGGGGAATACAATCATATGTATGACATCCATTTTTTGGCTCTAGTTATTTTAATTGTTTTTGTTTAATGACACAGACAGGGAGAGATTTCCACCAATCCTATCTCTGTACTGGTCTGTGAGGCACAGTATTTCAAAGGAGCCAAAAAAAAAAAAAAAGGTACATGCATAAATGCAAGCAACAGCTAAGAAAAATCTAGTTTAGTAATAGCCAGTGAGAATTCTCTTTGCACTGTCTCATAACTCAACAAACTCCAAGAAGATAAATTTATTTCTAGAAGCATTAAGTAAGGAATTCCGATGGGAAAGCTGCAATGCCTGTGTGATAAAATTATAGGAAAAGGCATTCTTTTAAATTCTTGAAACAGTGTTTACAAAGAAATCTCCTTCATTCCAGAAAGCAGTGTTTTATTTCTTGCCCCCTGCCCACCCCACCATGACCCTAGAGCCCCACACTGCCCCTGGGCCGTGCCCACGATGCAGCAAGGCTGGTTTGATGTGCCAACACGGCACATGGTAGCTGGCGGAAATACTAAAGCACTAAGCAAGCCAGGGCTGTGTTCCCTGGCATGGAGATGTGGTTTAGAGGTAGGAATGCCAAAACTGAATTTACCACCGAGTTACCAAACGTTTGGTAACTGACACAGCCAGTCCCCATCCTGCCATATCCCACTCTGCCTGCTGTGAACTGGCCAGCCTCCCCGGTGGGACCCACTCACGGACACAAGAACGAGGGAACTGAGGGTGGGGACACCCAGCAGATGACAGCAGGTACTCTGGCATTTGCCATCTGAAGGAGAGCGCTGCTGAATGGGCACACTGTTCTTTTAAACTAGATCAGAGATGGTGTTGACACCTGAGTTCAATACAGTACCATATATATATACCATATATATACATACATACATGTACTATATATATACATACATACATATACATACTTAAAAATATATGTGTGTGTGTGTGTGTGTGTGTATTTGCTTTGGTTGCAGACTTAAGTAGAGAGGTTTAAAAAAATCTCCTAAAAACCAACAGTGCTGACACTTACATAGTGGAGCTGACCTTTATATTGATTTTTTCTTACCTCAACATCCTTTTTGAGTTTTTCCAGGAACACCTTTTTGTTGTTGTCATCAATATAAATCTTTTGGCCTTCATTAATGAAATCATTATCCTTTAAAGTTGGCAGTTCTTTGGCCTAAAACAAATGAGAAAGAAGCTTTAATGAAATCTAAAAATACATACACCTTCCAATCCTGGAAATTGAAGCTTGCCCTGTTCACCACTGGGGTCTTACAGAGGCAACGAGCTGTGAGGGAGCTTGAGTACCACAAGGGGGCACCAGTGAGCTAAGACCACAGGAAGCATTCCCGCTAGGGAGCAAGGGTTAGACACCGGCCATAGGATAAGGCTTTCTGTAGTGCACTTCATGTTTCTCATGGGAATGGAACTAACTGCTTTTTTTTAAAATATTTATTTATTTGAAAGAGTTACAGAGAGAAGGAGAGGCAGAGGCAGAGGCAGAGGCAGAGACAGAGAGAGAGAGTTTTCCGTCTGCTGGTTCACTCCCCAAGAGCCAGGAGGTTTCTCCAGGTCTTCCCACGCAGCTGCAGGGACCCAAGGACTTGGGCCATCATCTACATCTACTGCTTTCCCAGGCCATAGCAGACAGCAGGATCAGAAGTGGAGCAGCCGGGACTTGAACCAGTCAAATATGGAATGCTAGCACTGCAGACAGTGGCTTTACCTGGTAAGCCACAGGGCTGGCCTTCCTAATTGCTTTCTTAGGTTCACTTTTTTTTTTTTTTTAAAGATTTAAAAAAAAATTATTTGAAAGAGTTACGCAGAGAGAGAGAAAGAGAGAGAGGTCTTCCATCTGCTGGTTCACTCCCCAATTGGCCGCAACAGCTGGAGCTGCACCGATCTGAAGCCAGGAGCCAGGAGCTTCTTCTGGGTCTCTCACACGGGTGCAGGGGCCCAAGGACTTGGGCCATCTTGTACTGCTTTCCTAGGCCATAGCAGAGAGCTGGATGGGAAGTAGAGCAGCTGGGTCTCGAACTGGTGCTCATATGGGATGCCGGCGCTTCAGGCCAGGGTGTTAACCCACTGCGTCATAGTGCTGGCCCCTAGATTTACTGTCTTATAAGGAGTCTTCTACAACTAGAATTTGTGTTCTTGGAAGACTGTGAGGAGACTTTGACTTTCTTCCCTGCACAACCCAACTCCACTCGTCCACCACCTTGGGGTGGCCTTTGCTGGGCTCCCGTCTTGTCTGACAAAAACCCCGTCCACAATCACGCCTGCTTTCCGCGTCAGGGAGAACCTGCAGCTGGAGGTGAGGCAGCCGCCCTTCCTGATCTCCCTGGTCACCACGCCGCCATGGAGGAAATGCTGTTCTCATCTGGGCGATGTCCAGGAAAAAATATCTTCATGTAAAACATATTAAGATGAGAAAGTCCACTTTTTCCAAATAAACAAGAGGGTGGGTTGGCAAGCCAGCCACGCTGATGCACCAATCAACATACAGCTGTCAAAACACAAGCGATGAGCAGACAGGGCTGCGGCTCGGGCAGCAGCATAGAGAGTAATGGAGGCATTGCGGTGTTAACGTAGCGCGGGTTATCCTAGTTACCTCTCAACACCAATCATCCCCACTCTCCCAACCATGGCTTTTTGCCTTCAGTTGAAAAGAAGCCCAGGTTAGTACCCCCTTTCTCTGTGTATTAAGAAACCCCGAATCGTCCTCTTCTCCAATAAGGGTGAACCAAATGTAAAAAACAAACCAAGTAAACAACAACATGCTTTCCTTCCTGGCCTGGCTCTTCCACTGACTGTCTCCCCCTCCCTAGAGAAAACTCACTGGGTTCCTATCTACTGATCCGTCCTTGGAATGCGTAAGCTGCTCATGTTCCCCTCTCATTTTACAAAGAATGCACCTGATGTAGGCATTCAAGTTGACCTGCTCACTCTCACACACAGACACATATAAGCATGCAGCATTTCTAAATTAGTAGCTTTGGCTACCGATTTTGTTTTGAGAAGGGACTCTGAATAGTTTTGCAGTTTTTTTTTTTTTTTTTTACAGGTTTGTTTTTATTTATTTGAAAAACAGAGTTACAAAGAGAGCTTCCGGGGACCAGTGCCGTGTCTCACTTGGTTAATCCTCTGCCTGCAGCGCCGGCATCCCATATGGGCGCCGGGTTCTAGTCCCGGTTGCTCCTCTTCCAGTCCAGCTCTCTGCTGTGGCCTGGGAAGGCAGTGGAGGATGGCCCAAGTGCTTGGGCGCCTGCACCCACATGGGAGACCAGGAGGCAGCAAGCACCTGGCTCCTGGCTTCAGATTGGCACAGCGCTGGCCATAGCAGCCATTTGGGGGATGAACCAATGGAAGGAAGACCTTTCTCCCTGTCTCTCTCACTGCTCTCACTGTCTAACTCTACCTGTCAAATAAGAAAAAAAGAGAGAGAGAGAGAGTTTCCATCTGCTGGCTCATACCCCAAATGGCCACAATGGCCAGAGCTATGGCAGGCTGAAGCGAGGAGCTTTATCCAGTTCTCCCATGTGGGTTCAGGAGGAGCCCAAGAAAGTAAGCCATCCTCCGCCGCTTTCCCAGGTGCATTAGCAGGGAGCTGATCGGAACTGGAGCAGCTAGGACTTGAACTCCTGCTCAAATGGGATGTTGGCATCCCAGGTGGTAGCTTAACCTGATACGCCACACCAGCCCCACAACTGTAAATTAGATATAAAGTACTACCAAAATAATTATCCTTACCAAGCGGGTAAAACAAAGCTCAGAGATCCAACGATTCATTCAGTAGGCAGTTACTGAACTGCTGTCAGGCACGGGGATACAAACACGAATAGGTTAAAATTTCTATTCTCAAGGAGTTTTTCATCTTGTAAGGAGAAAGACACAGTCGCAAATAGGTAGCAAATAAGACAGGAGGACGCAAGATCCCCAGATAAATAATAAGATTCTGCGGAAAGATTTATCTATTTTAAACACCTTTATGCCGAGTCACAGAGTGTTGAAGAAATAGAAATGCAGTGCCATTCTTCACCAAAGTTAAAGATGAGCCCAGCAGGTTAACACCTTAAGTCTGTCATTCATAAGTTAAAAATAATGTAAGTATAAGAAAAAGACCAAACCCAAAACAAAGAGGACACTCCCCACTGGCGCGTTTCAGAGGATGGCCCAAATACAACGTCTCGGAGCCCAGGGCCGCAGCGAGCCCCGCGGGCTCACGCCGAGGAGAGGAGGACCCTGCTTCTTCGAGCAGACATCTTGGGCAGTGTAGCTATGTCTTGGGGGTGTTAAGGGTTCAGATATTTGCCTGGATTCCACAACTCATTTTTCTGCGTGTGAGAAAAGGAGAGGAGAGGATTTTTTTTTTTTTTTTGGTTTTGTGTAAATGCGAGAAACCTGCGGGCTGAGATGACAGGCCCCAGGCAGGGCAGTAAATTACACATTAGATATGTGTTTGTAACACAAGTCACATTAATGAAGACGAATGCCATTTCACGTTCACCCCTGCAGAATTACCTCATGTGACAGCGAAAGTATAATCCTGCCTCATAAAACCTGGACCGCTGAGCCTCCACGACTCAGCTTACTTGTGAATGTCACAGGCGCTAGGGACACATTTATATTGGATCAAGTTCAAAAAAGGGCAACCAGATTGGTTAAAAGACTTAAGGGCTTATAGAAAGGATCAAGAGGCAAAGGCAGGTCCTCAGCAGGCAGCTGCGAGAGCAAATCCAACTCTGGGCAGTGCACACTCGTCTCCCAGGGCAGGGTTCCCCAGTCCCGGGTCCCAAGGTTCCCATCCCGTACCTGTCGGGGACTCGGGGCCAGTTCTCGGACTTTTCTGAGCTGTGCCTTCATTTTTGAGAAATTTATATTTATTTATTTGAAAGGCATACAAAGAGAGAGAGACAGACAGACAGACAGACACACTCCCATTGCTGGTTCACTCCCTGGATGCCCACAATAGCCAAAGTTGGGTCAGGGTGAAGCCAGAAGCCAGGACATGTGGTTGGCAGGCACCCAACCATTAGAGCCATCATCTGCTGCCTCCTAGGGTGTGCTTTAGCAGGAAGCTGGAAATCGGGAGTGGAGGTGGGACTTGAATCCAGGCTTTCCAATACAAGATGTGGGCATATCCGCTGTGCTTTGCCAAACGCCTACCCCTCAAAGTTCTTTCTTAATTCGACAACGAGGGGACCACCACCACCTGCAGCAGCTGCATGGGCTGTACTAACACACTCTAGGCGTATCGTTTTATTTCACACAAATCCTCTCATTAACTCTTTGCAACAACCTTAACTTTAACCTTAACCTTAACCTTATTATTACCCTATTTTACAGGCAAGGAAACAGAGATTGTGCAATTTAACTAACGTTTCACAGCCTGATGAATCATGAGCTGAGATGAACTCAACCATCACTCGGGCCCCTGTCTGCTACCTTCTAGGGTCCACGTTAGCAGGAAGCTGGACCCGGGAGTGGAGAGCAGCCCCAGGCCCTCCAATCTGGAATGTGGGCATCCCAAGTGGCCCCTTAATTGCTAGGCCAAATGCCCGCCTCTGGTCTCTTTTAAAGCAGTGTTAGAAGCGGTACCTCAGTGAGTAGCACTATGTCACCATCCTGATCGCAGTTAACAACAGTGTCAGGTGGCAGAGACACACGTGAACGTGGAAGGTGACAGAGGTCAACATCTGAACTGCTGGCATGTGGCGAGTTTCTACTCGTACACAAGCCTCTGAACATAAATGCTACTCCCTGGGGTGCCACAGAAGCTACAGATGATCTCTAAGGGCGGATTTGGTCAGGGATTTGTGATTAATAAAGGAAAAGGGTGTTCAAAACAGCTACCAAGCTGCAAGCACAGGGCTCTGTGGACAGTCATGCCAGAGAGAAACCACAGAATCCCCAGGGGCAAAGGAGACACAGGGCTGCCTGCTTCCCAGAAGTAGTACACAGAAGATAAAAAGCGAGGCCTCAAAGAGTTCTGGGCATTACCCAAGTATTTATGACCTAACATTTTTATACTTAGAAATTTCAGATTACTAAGAACTTTTGCAAAATCTCTGAAGACAAAACAAGGACCAAAAAAAAAAAAAGTGTGTGTGTGCTTACCAAAAAGATTTAAATTTTTTACGTATTTCAGGTGGGAGGTAATCCGTTTGTCTAAGAATA